TTACTAGTGACAGATACCGTTGTGGGTGACTGGTTAGTGAGATGGCCTCAATGCATAATCTCAGTAAAAGAATCAGCAAGACAGAACCCCACAAACATAAATCCTGGGAACAGCAGCAAATCCCAAATATCACAGTAATCACAAACTGGAGCATGGAGAAAAAGACAGAAAGGAGAGGGATGCACAGCTGTTAATATTCACCAATATGTTTACAGCTGTAATTAAGTATAAGATTTACATAACAACTGAAATAAATGAATAATTTTAAATCCAAACTGATTGTGACTGTCAATCTGTTAGGCTGAAGCTACACTGCGTGGCTGCTGGTGTGAGTGAAGCCTCATGTCCTCTCAAAAATCAAGCACTCTTTGACATGGCCTGAATTGGCATATAATTAGCATATACAGTATGTGCAGACTGCACTTTATTCTGTCAGTTACCACTGACCCTTTCTGGTATAGAACAGATGTAGAAATCTTAACAAAAAAACAGAACTACCATCAAATATTCCCCTTTCCTTCTTTAAATTATCCTTCCCTACCATTGTGCCCTGACTGATTAAAGGACAAGCAGGATGAGACTATTCAGTCAATTGAGCCTGGTCCCCAGGCAAGACTTGTGATGGATCCTCCAATAACAGCGCTTGCCTGCTTCTTCAAGCTGGGCTTCTTGAGTTCTGCTGACTCGAGGTGTCAGACTGGGCCAGGTGGCACTTTGGCCTCAGAATCAGAAAGGTATGGGTTTGAGCACCTCTATAATAATAATCCTTGCATTCGATACAGTGCTTTTTCATGTCTTCTAGACATCTCAAAAGCGCTTCACAGTATATACTGTAAAGTGAATTCACTGTATATTTATGGGTGAGATGTGGCAGCCAATTGTGCACAGCAGCGTCCCACAAACAGTCAGGGAAGTGACCAATTTTTTTTCTTGAGGGATTATTATCAGACGTGTGGAGTAAGGAAACTTGCCCAAAGTTTTGCCCTGCTGGAAATCGAACGCAGGTCTCTCACTTGCTACAGGATTCCACTACACTTTACAATAAACTCTATGAAGTGATTTGAGATGACTCTTGTGTTTCGCTGGGTTCGTCAATTTAAAAATCAACTAATTAATTTATAAATAAATATAATTATAGTGAAGTCAACTGCATGCTTTATTTTTAAATATTTTTCTTTATTCAATTCCTATAGGTATTTAAATAGATATTCATCCATTTTGCTTGTCTCAATGCGGGCAATGCATTACCATATTTTGTCAAACGGTAGCCTTGTGATGGAAGATGGTCCAGCGGATTTGTTCAGGCTCTCGCTATCTCAGTCCCTCGTACCCTAAACGTCATGAAGAAGGTGCTTGTGCCAGCTCGCTCGGAAATGCATCTGAATGGAACAGTTGTCTCTATTTGAGGCTGTACTATCAGATAAAAGGGTGTAATTGGGATACTTGAGATAATAATTACCACATTGCCTACAACAGCGTCCCCATCAACACAATGTATTGTAATCAGCCAAGGCCTCAGTTGAACCATTGTTTTTCAATGCTGCTTCACAGGATACTGGCCTGACTGAATCAGATCTCTGCTGGGTTTGTTAAACCACGACAAACATTATAAAGCATCACGTTAGCTTATTCAAGTAAGATTTGGCCGAATAGCCTGGATCAGTCAGTGTGTGACGATGTATTGGCACTGTGTGTAAACTCAGTACATTGTTATTAGCAAAAACAAGATTGTTGTGATGACCATAACAGTATCCTATATATTGGAAAAGTTGTGGAGGATGTTGTGTAAGGTGGGAACAGTGTGTGACAGGTTGTGTGACAGGTTTGAGTTTGATGTGAGTACAAGTGGACTTATCTATGGCTAAGCACATAAATTGTTATACAGTCAGTCATCCTTTCGGATATTGTGTTCGCAAAGGAGGACTGAGGAGGATTTACGGTAGAAAATGGGAATAACATTAAGAAGCAGGAAAGTAGTTTGAGTTTTTAATGAGGTTTAATATTTAAGTCCTGTTCCCCTAAAGGTTGATGGAATGAGTCAGGACAAGGATGGGTTGCAAAGTGAGCACTTCTTTCAGAGCAGATGTGTGAGGTGATTGAAGCTGACTAAATGTTGTGATCTTTAGACAGTGCCTAGCAGTATGAGTTCGACATTCATTCAGAACTCTGCCGCCCGCATTCTCACCCGCACGAAACTCCGCTACCCAATCACCCCAGTCCTGGCCAGACTGCACCGGCTGCCTGTCCCAGAGAGGATCGACTTCAAGATCCTCACCCTCGTATTCAAGTTCCTGCACTCCTCTGCACCCCCCCAACCTCTCTGACCTCCTCTCTCCTCAAAACAGCACCCGTTGCCTTCATTCCTCTGGGTCTGGCCTCCTGCTTGTCTCCCGAGTCTTCCGCTCCACCCTCGGCGGACGTGCCTTCAGCCACTGTGCCGTGAGGCTCTGGAACAGGCTTCCTCATTCCCTTCATCTTGCTCCCTCCCTTCCCATTTTCAGGTCTCTGCTGAAGACCTTTCTTTTCGACCGCGCCTTTGGTCACCTTCCCACCCCTCCCCCTCCCCCCAGCTCGGCCCCAGGATCCGTTACTGCGAAGCTCTGAGACGCTGTCCGGCTTGGAAGGCGCTATATAAATCCAAATTGTTGATGTTGTTGTTCCCTTGAATGTCAGCCGAAGACAGAATCCCTGATTATTTCTGACTGCTGAAGGGGATACCTGTTGTAAGGGAAAGATCATTCTATTATCTGTGAGTTGGCAGTAAGCTCTGGATTTAATGGATATTAGATCAAGTTCTGACATGTTGCTATTAATAATTCTTGATTAAATGGGCTGATGTATCCTTCCTCATCCAGGTATATTTTCTCTCAGGAGATATCAAAATGATTGGGCCAGTTCTGATGAATGGTCATTGACCTGAAACGTTAACTCACTTTACTCTCTCCATAGATGCTGCCTGACTCACTGAGTGTTCCCAGCCACTTCTGTTTTTATTTTGGGCTAACAAAACCTAATTTACAATTTTACAGAAATATAAAATGGTACAGGAACACAGAAGACATCTAGCTGGCCTCAAATATTAAAACAACAACAAGCAAATACACTATCTGTCAGTGTTCTGATTCTTTCACCAAATAGCAGCAGAGAGCAACATACTGTGGAGTATGGAGGGGTTCATTGGGCAGTGGAGGTGTCATTGTGCACAAATGAGGACATTGTATAGTGAGCAGTGGAGAGCACTGTATAGTGAGCAGTGAAGGACACTATTAATGAGCAGTAGGGGACAATGTATTCGTGAGCAGTGGAGGACACTATAGTGAGCAGTGGAGGACACTATAGTGAGCAGTGGAGGACACTGTACACTTGGTATTAGACAGAACCCTACTTTGGGTAGTGTTCTGCAATATCCCAGAATATCAGCAAATTGAGGCAGAATCAATATGACACCATGTTGTAATGTAAGGGAATTGAAATTCCTTTTGATAGAAGACAAATGTCTGCATTAATTCTTTTTCTGTTGCCTTTTGTAAACAAATATCATCATTGATGAATGAAGTTAGTGCTACTCAGATTTCACACTGAGTAAACATGTGTAAGTTGGAAATGATGTTTGGCTATGTTTTTGTAAACCAGCTTGTTTACTTCACTCGGGGAATTACTTGTGATATTTATACTTCACACATTTTTAGTGTTGTCTAAACAGTTAACTAAATGAAATGTAGTAGATGTAATCTGAACAGAAGCAGCCTAGGTATAAAGCTTATACGTCACTGGGGACACAGTGTAAATGTACTGCCTCACCACCTTCTCAAATGTTTTCAGCCATAGAGGCAGCACATCAGACCATTCACTGCTGCTTGTTACAGACTTTTTATAGTGCATGGCAGTGATGTCTGATATCTGACACACTACTGTACATACAGCAGCATTAATCAAACAGATAACCTGTGTCAGGAAACTCATGTGCTTCACGGTCAAACCCACTTGTTTAATAAAACATATTCTAGTTTTCTTTTGGCTTTTTAAGCAACAAACTGTGAACTAGATAAACAGTGGTAACTGATCAATGAACTGTAACCAACTAATGTATATCAGGAGTGAAGGTGGCCTTCAGATTCATTCAGGTTTGTTTTGTCATTGAAGTAGGAACACTATGTGTCTCAGACTGTCAACCGAGTGGATTCAGTGACTGATTGAGGCTGATGTGTATATGGTTAGAGCAGGCAATGCAGGAGTAGGAGTGGGTGTATTTTGTTTGATTACACAGAGTCCTAGTGCCAGCAAGTCATTTGGACACTTCAAAATCTGAACCACACAATGCCAATCTAGTAACAGAGCTTGTTTTTGTTTTGGGATTGCAACTACAAGTAGAGGTTGTAAATGCTGTCACTTTTATTGTAGCTAGCATGGACTGCAGATAATATCGATTCGGCCATTTGAGCTTCACTGTCTTAATCTAAAATGACAGAGGTCCTGTCAGGCCTGCTGCATATTTGATAACAGAGTCACAAGAGAGAAAAGAGCTCACTCTTTAATTCTCAACTATATATTGACTTGCTTCAATCATACAAAGCACTTCAGTATAGAATGGTATTATTGCTGCTCCAGAGCTCTCAGAGCTTCTGTAATGTGCACATGCTGCATGCACTGTTTGATAAATCATTTCTCTTTTCATGCTCATACACTTAATTAAAAGTATTAAAGATACAGGAAGCTGCATCCTGTCAGGCCTGTAGCTTTGCCGGTCTATACATGGATATGTCTGGGCTGACCTGATCACATCCTGTTGGAGGGGAGGGAACCTGATTGTGGCTTGCTGGTATTACTGTCAACAGCGCAAATAATATTGTAATTACTGTACAAGGATGATGATGTGTTGTTTGTTATGTGCTCTGACACAGGAAGATTGATGACATTCCTTTTACTCATTGGAAATGTAGTTGAATGAATGTAAGATTTGAGGATACGTAACTAATCAATATCTGCTGTTGAATTCCCAGCAACTTGTCGGGCAATCGGCTCAGCACCCTATCATGGCAACCGTTCCGCACACTGAGGCTCTCTCACCTGTAAGTGTAATAATAATAATAATGAAGTGTAAAGCCATATGCACAAACCTTTCTCAATCATTACATTCTGCTTTCTTTAAACACTGCGGCTGTGTGTCCACAGCTGCACTACTTTCACCTGTCTTCATCTGTCCACAGTGCATTCACTGTCCAGCTACAACTGTTGCACATCTGCACATACGCCCTGCTCTTACCTGTCAAATCACTGTTTATTTGCTTACCCTGACCTTTTGAGTGTAAAACCATTGTTTGACCAGGAGATGATTCAATTATTCTAGAATGACTCATACAATGAGAAGCTTTACTCATGTGAAATCCTAATCCTTACTTCCCATGTTCATGTTTGCATGAAGTTCAGGGATATATGAGCTCACTTTCCCCAGAGCCAGACAGTGAATCAACTCATTGCAGAGATTAAAACAATGAGGATCTCGGACACTACTGCCTCTGAGATGACCTGGTCTCTTGTTGTTATGTCTGGCCCTAGTGGGACAGGTGGAATGTTGTTCCTCTACCTCTCCCTTCCCACCCATTCTCCTTGTCATGGTTGGTGCAGGATTGAGGGTTATCCTATGTTTCAGTCTCTGACATGCATCTGAACTGAAGCTTTTCTTTACTTGGAGTTTTGTTTCTGTGACTGTCTAGGATCCTGGTTGGAAATTTGTTCAACTGCAGCTGTGAGATTCGCTGGATCCAGCTGTGGCAGCAGAGCAGTGAGGCCAGACTGGCCCAGCAACCACTGTACTGTAAGACTGACAACAGCATGATCCTTCTCTCCAACATCAACATCACCCAGTGTGGTAATTAGTGTTTCTACTGTCCAAACACACACATGCAGAACAGCAATAATACTAGATACACGATATATTTCAGAACAATGTTGGTGTTAATTATCACTTAATTTTAGTACATGTATAATTAAAAGGAGTAAAATTGCATTCTGAGTGGTTTTATTGGTTCACTTACCTTCTCCCCAGTTAAAACAGCACCAGGAGTAAGTGTCTGTGATTATTGTGTAGTTTCTGGCAGTAATGGGGAAAGGCGTGGGAGTAACAGATAGCGTTTACCTGGCATGGGCACAATGGACCTTCGATGCTGGAAAAAGTTCTGCTTTTAGCACAAAATCTGAAGATGGGTAGAGCAGGAGTTTGTTTGTTGCCTCATACCTTCCTCTTCCCCTCTCCCCCGGCTTGGAGTCAGGCTGTTAAGAGCTCTGAGACACTACCCTGCGTGGAGGGCGCTAGATAAGTGCAAGTTGTTACATAAGAACATAAGAAATACTAGGCGAAAACAGACCAAGGTCCATCTAGTTCGCCTTCCACCTTCCTAGCGGTCGCTTACACACGCGTCCAAAACGCCCTATGTGCTATATATATATACCATAATGTTATTTCCTAAAAGAAAACTAATCTGTGTTTGAAAAATCTGCTGGAGGCCAGGCTGACCCAGCAACCATTGTACTGTAAGAGTGACAACAGCATAAACCTCCTCTCCAACATCAACATCACCACTTGTTGTTGTTGCATACATTTTAACCAGTTTCTGTCCCTCTCTAGAAGTTGGGAAGTTGTGGAAATCCTACTGTGGGTTGTGTAAATGGACCTCTTGTGGTTGAAGTACCTAATGAAGCTGATATCTTGTTTCTGGTGCAGAATTGCCGGAGATTAGTGTGAGTCACAATAACCTGGTGGTGAAGGCTGGAGAGGATGTTGTGGTGACATGTAATGGATCTGGATCACCACTCCCCGATGTGGATTGGAATGTCACTCATGTGCGCTCCATTGGCATTCATCAGGTAACATCATAATAATCCTCACATTTGATATAGCGCCTTATCACGTCATTGAGATATCTCAAAACGCTTCACAGAATATACTGTAAAGTGTAGTGACTGTGTATTTTGTGGGCAAAATGCGGCAGCCAATTGCGCACAGCAGTGTCCCACACAGAGTCGTGGATTGAGGGATTAATAAGGGATTATTACTCCAGGAAGGCAATCCGCCAATCGACTAACAACTGGGTCCCTACTTACTGCTGAGTAAACATCTGCTCTCGTAAAACATGCTCATTAGCTATCTGACCATTTAAGTTTGCTTTTTAATTGTTACATTGCTTACCCCAGCCTCAGCTCCTCTCTGAATCATTGCCACATCAAATGCCTGTTCTACACACTGTGAGGTAAATATTCTTCCATTCTATTCATCCTTGGTTTTTAAATCCAACCTCTCTAGTTCTGCTCTCACAGTCTTAGCTGATCAGTCCGGTTGTGTGTCTATCTGTTGTACTTAGGCCTCTCATCTTATATAGACCAGGATCATGTCTCCCCCTCCCCCATTGTTAGGTTAGTAACTGCTACTTTAGCGCTCAGAGCCTCTTCTCACAGTTATTATACATGTCAGCTTCAGCCAGAACTGTTCTGTGATGACCATTCAGTTCAGTTATCCTGAGCACAGTTTACCTGATCAAATGCTGCTTCTAAACAACAATTCTACATCCCACAGTGTAAAGGGACATCCATATATGGTATCTCCCTTTATATCATTAGAGGATTGTAGAGCAATTCAGCAAAACTACTGTTTAATATCTGAATTGTTTGATGAAACATAAGGAGAAAGCATTCAGAAGCAGGCTGGAGGGTATGGAATGCTTGTCCAATAATGAGAGTTCATGTCGGTGCTGTCACAGGAATATTTGTCTGCTCTATGGGTTTGATGTACTTGTGAGGCCTCAGTGTGTGGAGCAGCCTATAATGTATTGAATTGATTCAAAATCATATTGAAGGTGGTGACCACAAAATCCAGTATTTTCTCTCCGATTTCTCCTTTTGTTCTGGAATCTAAGCCCCCACCCCCAGACTCTTGACTGACCAGCTACTGTGATCACCAGAGAAAGTAATTACAGAGCACAGTAGATCACATGTACAGAATTCATTAAATGATCTTCATTTGTAAAAGAGCTTTGAGCCTCTTACCTCACTCAGTGCCACTGAGAACATCAATACTGACAGTATTTTGGAGTGTGGAGGTTCTAGCCTCGGATACAATTGTGCAATTGGCTTGCTAACCCTCGGGCCTCAGTATTGCAGTAACTCTGCAACATCCAACAATTGCTGTTTCCTTTCCTTTCATGCATTACTTCTGTGATATTGGTTGTGAGTTTATATTTTTTTCTTCTCTGCCAGACTAACAGTAACCTGACGACTGTGTCCACAGTAAACCTGACCCTGTTTAATGTTGATCAGGAGGATAATGGGAAGCTGCTGATGTGTACAGCAGAGAATATGGTGGGAATGACTAACGCCTCGGTGCTGCTCAATGTTTACTGTGAGTAGCCTTTCCCATCTCAGCTCAACCTCAACAACCAGAGCTTTAAGGAGTTCAATCGACTGCCTGTTGAGTTGACATTTGATTATTGAAAATTCAAACCTGGAGACGTAGAATATAAAAGCAAAGGAGTCAAGCTGATGCCTGTATAAATTATTAGTTAGGTTATTATTATTATCATTATTATTAGTAGCTATTGTGTCCAGTTTTGGATGTCTCACTGTAGGAAAGATGTCAAAGGATGTTGAGAACCCCATTTGTCTTTTGCCACTTGCAGTATCCCAAAGGGCATAAAATAAGGCACAAGAAGCTTCAAATTTCAGGCTTTATCAATGAGGCATTTAATAATAATAATAATCCTTGCATTTGATATAGCGCTTTTCACGTCGGGAGGACGTCCCAAAGCGCTTCACAGAACACACTGTAAAGTGAATTGACTCTATATTTGTGGGTGAACGCGGCAGCCAATTGCGCACAGCAATGTCCCACAAACAGTCGTAGATTGAAAATGACCAATTTATTATTGTTTTGTTTTGGAGGGATTATTTGTTAAGGTTCAACAACTTTATTTCTTTTTTTAAACTTTCAGATCCTCCTGACATTAAAGAGTTAACAGAGCCTGAGCAACGACATATGCATTGCATTGAGTTTACAGTCTATGGTAACCCTCTGCCCACCATCCACTGGCAGTATCAGGGCCAGAGGCTCCAGGAGTCAACGTTCATCTACACTATGGTTTATGAAGAGGCTAGTGACTGGCTGTATGGCTGTTTGCTGTTTGACAGACCCACGCATGTCAACAATGGGAACTACACGCTCTTCGCAGAGAACGATATGGGCACTGATACAGAGACCGTCTACGCACACTTTCTTGGGAGTCCATTTCCAGGTAAAGAGCCTTCATTTCTGTATTCCTCAGGATCTTGACTGCATGGACTCTCACAGCTCAGGATGTTGTCAGGGACCAAATCCTTCCTTGCATTCCCAATCTCCCTGACTGCTTTCCATTTCTCTCTGCGCTCCAGCAGGAGACTACAGGGCACTGCTGATGCAGACCAGTCAGTCTGGCTCACGAGACAGGAGGAACACAGCGGGCATTGGGGCCAGTGATTCTTCCCACACAACTCTTGTTAATCCTACAAACCCCTAAATGATAGTGTGAGCCTAGCTGGACAAGCAGTGTGAAACTTGCTAGGCAGCAAACGCAATGGCAAGCTATGCACTGTAACTGAGCAACACTTACCCCAATGCACGCTCTGGGGTCTTCAAGCCTTGGGTTTCACCAACCTGTACCTAATAAGCTATGCATTGTTGTGCTCCACCACTGTCAACTGCTCTGGGATGCTACCCTGTGTGAGGAGCGCTGTGTAAATGAAATTTGTTGTTGCATCGCTAACCTCTGGAGAGAAAATGTACAGAGATTTCTGTATGTAGCTGGTTTGCATGTATGACATTTCACCCACAAAATGCCTAGTCACTTCACTTTACAGTATATCCTTTGAGAGGTCTCAATGATGTGATAAGGCACTATATTAAATGCAAGGTTTATTATCATATTATATATGGATTTCTTTCTAGTTTCGATGATGTTAAGCATGGTGCTTGGTTTCTGCATGTGCCAGACACCTGGGCAACCAAAAGAAAAATCAATCTGTTAAACATCTCACAATAATGGACATTGTATAGATATTTAATCTTTGTTTTACAATTTCCGTGTTCATGTGTTCTAGACAACAGCAACGTTACATGTATAATAGCGGCGTTCACATCAGGAGGACATGTCACAGCGCTTCACAGAGCTGTCTGACAGCTCGGGGAGCTGAGGGGGAAGGTGACCAAAAGAGCAGTCGAAGATAAAGGCCTTCAAGGCTAATTTTAAAGGTGGGGAGAGAGGAAGGGGATGAGTCGGAGATATTCTGTGATGGAATTCCAGAGTAGAGGCAGAATGGCTGAAAGGTCAAACCAGATGATTTGAATGGTTTCCCTCAAGAACCAAGTTGATATCGGCAGAATTTCCAAAAGATGAAAGAGCAATTTTCAGATTGTAAATTGACTTGGGTTTTGGGAATTTAAGTGCCCTGTTGATATGCTGTATATAAGTGCTAGTTGTACACTTCTCAGCTGCACTTACACTTACACTGTACATTCTACTCACATTGACAGAACTTACACTGTACGTTCTGAATTTGTGCCAGGCCTAAGGTTTGGTTTCAGCAATATTAATCACAATTTGAGGCAAAAATTGGTAGTTTTTTTTCTCAAAAAAGAAACATTATCTATTAATTATCTTATAAACTATTAGTTTGAATATTTTTTATGCAGCAACTGATTTCTTAATTAGAATTTCTAAATGAATGTGAATTCTGTAGATAAATCTTCATTAAAGTCAGCTTCAAATCTTCAAATGCTTGACTGGAAAAGAGCTAATTTTGACGGGCTAAAGAGGGACCTAGAGTTGGTGGACTGGCAAGTAAGAATGGCAGGTATAAAGGCCCATGAGCAATGGGAAATCTTCAAAGATACGATAGCTCAGGGTCTAAATAGTTATATTCCCACAAAAGGGAAATGTACGAGAACCAAGCCTGCTTGGATGACCAGGGATATTCTGTCTAGGATGAAAAAGAAGAAGATGGCGTACGACAATTGGCGGATGCAAGACACTGAGGATAGCAAAGCACATTATAGAGAATGCAGGAGTGATCTTAAAAGAGTGATAAGACAGGCTAAAAGATCGCATGAGAAGAGGTTAGCGGGTAACATAAAGAGGAATCCTAAAATATTTTAAAAGCACATAAAGGAAAAAAGGTTAGTTGAAGGTAGGGTGGGGCCAATCAATGACAATGACGGCAATCTTGTTGTGGAGGCTGATGTACTAAACGAGTACTTTGCATCTGTCTTCACAACGGAAACGGATGCCCCAAATGCCACAGTATTGGATGACAGGGTAGAGGACATAGATCAGATTACTATAGACAGAGAGGAAGTTCTGAAAAGATTGACTGGGCTCAAAATTGATAAGTCAGATGGGTTTCACCCAAGGTTGCTGTGGGAGATACGGGTTCAAATAGCAGAGGCTTTGGCCATTATATTTCAATTGTCATTGGACACAGGAGTGGTGCCAAGAGACTGGAGAGTGGCTAATGTTACCCCACTCTACAAAAAGGGGCAGAAAGACAAGACCGGGAATTACAGGCCAGTCAGCCTAACTTCGGTAATAGGAAAGCTACTGGAGACCGTAATCCGGGACAAAATAAATCTCTACATAGAGGCAGCCAACTTGGATTTGTTAAAGGCAAATCTTGCCTAACAAATCTAATAGAATTTTTTGAAGAAGTGACTGCGAGGGTTGATGAGGGAAATGCGGTGGACATTATTTACATGGATTTTAAAAAGGCTTTTGACACAGTACCGCATAAGAGGTTAATAAAAAAACCTGGAGACCCACGGTATTAAGGGGACAGTAGCCGTTTGGATTAGGAACTGGCTGAGTGACAGAATGCAGAGGGTGGTGGTTAATGGATGTTTCTCGCAATGGAAGGAGGTGTGCAGCGGTGTCACCCAGGGATCGGTATTGGGACCACTGCTCTTTCTCATATATATTAACGATCTGGACTTGGGCATATGGAGCACTAATTCCAAGTTTGCAGATGATACCAAGTTAGGTAAGGTAGTAAATAGTGAAGAAGATTGTGACAGACTGCAGGCAGACATACACAGAATGGTGGACTGGGCTGACATGTGGCAGATGGATTTCAATGTAGATAAGTGCGAGATGATACACTTAGGTACGAAAAATGATAGGCAATATAGGCTTGGTAGCTCAATCTTAAAGGGGGTGAATGTACAGAGAGATCTGGGCGTTCAAGTAAGCGATTCATTGAAGGTGGCAGAGCAGGTAGATAGGGCAGTAAAAGGGGCATTTGGTGTACTGAGCTTCATTAGTAGGGCATAGAGTATAAGAGTAGGGGTTATGCTTAATCTGTACAAAACACTGGTTAGGCCTCAGCTGGAATTCTGCGTCCAGTTCTGGGCACCTTACCTCAGGAAGGATATTAAGGCACTGGAAAGGGTGCAGAGGAGATTCACGAGAATGATACCAGGAATGGGGAAGCTTAGCTATGAGGACAGATTGGAAAAGTTAGGACTTTTCCCATTAGAGCAGAGAAGGTTACGCGGGGACCTGATAGAGGTCATCAAGATCATGAAAGGTTTCGATAGGCGAGATAGGGAAAAGCTGTTTCCGCTGGTAGGTGTGTCTGTGTCTCGTGGTCACAGCCTTAAGATATCTACCAAAAGAAGCAGAGGGGAGGTTAGAAGAAATGTTTTCACTCAGCGAGTTGTTAGAATTTGGAATGATCTGCCCAAAAGGGCAGTGAAGTCCGATTCGATAACAGCTTTTAAGAGAGAACTGAATAGGTATCTGGAGAAGACCGGTTTGCAGGGTTATAGGGAGAAAGCTGGTGAGTGGGGTTAATAAAAGTCAGTTGCTCTGTCAAAGAGGCGGCACAGACTCGATGGGCCAAATGGCCTCCTTCTGTGCCATAACATTCTATGATTCTATGATTCTATTCTATGAAATCTCAGCTGAAGAACCTACAAGTTAATTACGGTCAGTTTGTACTTTGCCTGATTAACAAGCAATTAACTAAAAGTGGAATTTGAGACAATGACTTAGCTCGGCAATATGGAGAAAGCTAGCAGTTAGGAGACTTTGTGCTACCTGTAATGAAGCAGGGGAAGAGCTGATTAAGAACGATGTCTGTGTGACTTTGACTGGAAGAAGAGAGCACAGGAGATGGCTACAAATCTACTAGTTAGCTGACATTTATAGAGAGAAAGATTACTGAAAAATATACCCAGAACCAAAATAATGTTGCCTCCACTGCTGTCAGTGGCTGGCTTTGCTGAAGTAAAGGAAGCCTAAGTGTACACCAAGCAACACATCCTATTGCAGTGTCGCAGCTCCCCAAGTGCCTATGCAACCAGATCTGAAGTGGAACCACAAAGTAGATATTATAAAGTGCGCAGCTGCAGCCTTCACACAGACGTAGATATTAATTGGAGGTTGCGGTTTGCCACAATGTTCGAATGTGAGAGGCCACAACAGGGTGAGGAGGTTCCATGAAGGACGCATGGTTGTGTCTGCTGAAGCTGGTGCAAGAATTGCATTAGATTTTTCTTAATGTGTTAATTTATAAACTTGTAGCCAGATGTCTTCCCACCTATCTGCCTCAAGTACCACCTTGTGCTCTAAACAGACTTGTCATAACTATTTTCCATGAATGAAGGGAGAAAAGGGTGCCCTCTAGCTATTAATTGTATGGCTCTGTTTTCCTCAATCATGTTTATTTCATATTCAGTAACACTTGTAAATAAGTTGTTGTAAAATGTGGTAAATAGGTGCACCTAAATAGGAAATCCATTCCCACTCCCACTGTGTGTAAATCAACTGCTCATGTTCGTAGGTCACAGATACCCCTGAATATGTGGTTTTACAACAGGAGCAATTTTCCACAGGTGTCAGGACAGTCAGAGAATTTCTGACACAATCAGCAACACCTTGCATTTATTATAGCACCCTTCATACGGGGTAGTGTCCCTGAGTGCTTGAATCAGTGTCATACACACTGAAGTCTTGAAGAGTAATTCATGAAAAAATACTCTTTTCCCCTTGTAGTAAATCTGGTTCTTTGTATTATTGGGTTTTACTGGCTGCAAGTTGAGTCTTGGGTTCAATTCAGTTCTAATTCAGTGGAAGCTAAGAAGGAAGCAGTTTCCGCTTTCAGTGACAGGACACCAAACTAAAAGAAAAAACATGTTTGCTGGAAATTCACAGTAGGCGCTCAGCATCTGAACGATATAGATACCTGAAGGGAAATCATTGCTTCAAAAACACTCTACAGAGCACGTGAAGGTTCAACCAATGCTATGTGGAGGATGCTTCCCCTTGAAGAATGAGAACTGTACAAGTTACATCATCTCTCTTACCCAAGATAACAGCCACATTAAACCATAGTAGATCAACATGAAAATTAAAACATAGATTATGAAAAAGTAGTATTTACAAAACGTGTAGGGTGAAGTAAGAGGACGACTATTTGCGCCAAGTACAAGGCTACACAGAGGCAGTTAACCCTAAACTACACCAGAGTCAAAGTACAACAAGACATAGCAGCAGATGGCAAATATTCTATTGTAGCAGTAAGAGCGTAATCAGGGAAACATTAAAATCCTAAACCACCCGAAGGGCTTTGAAAAATATGCCCAAGTTAGCAAACAAATAAAATGACTGCTTCCTGGAGGTTTTTTTTTAACCAGGAAAGGCACTTAAAAACATGCCATCTACTATCCAACATGTATTGTTTGAGCTCCACAATATTGATACAAGTGACCGTTAGGGCTAGAAACCCAGAATTCACTGTTTGTACCCGAGAGCATGTAGAGAGACGATGCAGGAAATGTGTGGAGCACTGACAGATATAGGTCAAAATGTTACCGTCCTGATAACAATGAATGAGTTGGAGAAACGAGTATGGCCCAAATTTAGGACCTTTGACATATAGAACTAAATTTAGTGGCAAAGCAATGGTGCCATATGAACAAGGTGCTGAAAGAAATGTCTAATCTCTCTCGAATGGTTGAAGTCTTCTAACATCGATCAATTCTTAATCTGATGTTCAGGCTTCAAGTTGATGTATTATCTCTTAAGACCTAGTGTGTTGGAATGAGCTCTGAAGGCAAGGTTTATCCATGATAGAGCCTGGGAAGCATTAATACCTCCAGTAAGAAATACAATTGTGATTTAACAACAGAAGGATAGCAAAAGGATAACATTAGGAAGAATCTTCCTTCTGATGTAGCTGTTTGTTGTGCTGCCTGGTTTTCCGATGGACTTTCCCTGGAGAAGCATTACTCAAATTGCTCATTGTGTTGCCAGTTTGCTAGTGGCTAATTGGTGTGGATTATTTGGTAATAATTATTTCCATGGGTATTATATTTATTATAACCTACTAAGGAAGAACAGGTATTTTACACTAATGAGTTGAGAGAGAAATTATTTTCTATTAATCAAAAAAGACATTATAAATAGCTTCTGACCATTTTGATAGTTTCCCTGAGCTTGCTATGACTTTCCAGAATAATTATTCTGTGTAATTCCGAGGCTTTCCCAGGTATAATCTAAGAGTAAAGAATGCAGGTGACTGTGACACACACAGCTCAGGTTATGTGTGACCGGGTATATGTAACTAAGATTTGAGTTGAGTTGAACCTTCCTCCTAATATCTTTGCACCTGTCTGTCTCTCTCTCTCTCTCTCTCTCTCTCTCAAACATACCTATTGATTTACTCTTTACAGTTCTCTTGGACAGAGCATCCCACATATGCACATTCCTGTAAGTGAAGCATTGCTTCCTGACCTCAGGTCTAACTGTCTTTGTTCTGGTTTTGAAGCTGTGCGAGTACACCTGCTGTCGCTCGGAGTAACTGTAGTGTTTGAAATTGTGTCAGAGTTGATAGTAGCTGTCAGTAACTGTCAGAGGTATTTTTGGCTTCACCTTTTGCTTCAGAAGGAAAGCATAGAATTAGCTGAAAGACGGAGAAAGCACTTGTGAGGAGCATTGTTCACTCTCTCAATAGTTTCACAACCTCTTTGAGCTGCATAAAGAGTGAGGGCAAGTGGGGTAACTTGGTGATTTGTATAAAAAGTAAAATATCTATTTCACTCTCTTGCTTCATGCAAGTAGATTGTTTACTGAGTCCTGTAGCTCAATGGTTAAAGCACTCGCCTTGCAAGCCTTGCAAGTTCTGTTCCCGGCAAGACGAAATACTGGGAAAATTTCCTTACTCCACACACCTCTGTTTACCTAGCAGTAATTAGGAACCCGGTTGTTAGTCGATTGGCGGATCACTTTTCCGGGAATAATAATTCCTTCAAAAAAAACAATAATAATTTGGTCACTCAATCCACGCCTGTTTGTGGGACGCTGCTGTGTGCGATTGGCTGCCACGTTTTACCCACAAAATATACAGTCAATTCACTTTACAGTGTATTCTGTGAAGTGTTTTGAGACGTCTAGAAGACGTGAAAAGCGCTATATCAAATGCAAGGATTGTTATTATTATCTAGTCCAAGTTTCTTCTTCGAGATTGCACTGTGCGGTGCTAAATTGTGTGGAGTGCTTGCATTTTGGTCCCTCCTCACTCACTATTGAAAGCGAACAGATAAGCAGTCGGTGTTCGTATTCCTATTGAATTGAATATTGTGCAAACTCCTTTGTTGTAACACAATGTGTTAGTAATGACCCTTTGCTGTGGTGTGGTATGATGTGCAGTGTAATAGTAATGCGCCCAAGTGGGATAATGGATTGTAAGAGTTGGGATTAGGGTTTGGATTGGGACAGGATCAAAGGCTGTTGGAGTGGAGTGTCAGGAGACCTCAGTCACACAATCCCAGCCCAGGCTGTGCCAGCGTTATTGACTAGCCGGGGACCTTCTGATGCTGATTGTTGCCCTGATGTAATCTATGCTGTTATGTATACAATAAATTAGGTTTCAGATCTCATTTTCAGCTTTCTTGCTGTACCGGTGCCTGAAATGCTTAAAACTACAATATTACACCAACTGATCCAGAAATAGGGAGAGAGAGATAATTGGAATTTTCTTCTCTTCCAACACAGCTCTGTAGATATTAAATTCCATGTACTGTTAAATTTTTGCCTCTCGTTGCAAATTGTCACCCTTTCTATAGTTGAACTTCAATGGGATGCCAATATCTGTTGCATAGTGTTACTTAAATTTAATTTCAATTTCTCACTACCTTCTGTGCCCTTTCATCTCTACCAGAAAGTGGTGCATTGGCTGATATTTGGATTATTGTGTGTTCAGCCTGGTCTCTGAGCAGCGCAGCATCTCCAGAGCTAATTTACATGTTCCTGTTATCATAGTGCACCTTCAGAAAGTAAAACAGTCTCTGTAAAAGCAATGACTGGTTTACACACTTGAGATGCTATTGCACTAACAGCTATTTTAATTGTTAGTTTGCTTCCCAGCATATGGGAAATAGTTCAGAGCCCAGGCTCATTACCAGCATGATGATTACACTCTACAACAGTCTGCAACAGGCACACTTAACCCAGATGAGGCTGCAGAGGGCATCCGAAGGATGGCATCTCTGTTACTGTAGCACAGGCCAGCTCTGAACTGAGTCGTCAACCTGGACTGTGAGTTCAAAAGCCTGACATGGGACTCGATACCACAATTTTTTGACTCAAAAGTGAGAGTGAGACTGACTGAGGCAGGTGGGCACATTATATCAAATGCAAGGATTATTAGGATTATAATCCCTTCTGTTGAGCTAATGTTATGTTTTTCTTTCACAGATAATATGGATGAGCACTTTTACAGTAAGTCTGTTTCAGCATCTTCTGGAAGCAGGTCTCAGAGCACAAAATATTGCCATTGTTACGTTATGTTTTGGGAGGGAAGAGGATTAGAGCAATGGTGTGTTATGGAGATTATTTCTGTATCTGTGGCAACACAACAACAACTTGCACTTATATGGCTCCCTCCATGCAGGCTGGCGTCTGAGAGCGCTTAACAGTGGCGGAGTCTGACTCCGAGCTGGGAGGAGGGGGGAGGTGGCCGTAAGCACGATCGAACAGGAAATTCTTCAGGCGGGACTTGAAAAAGGAGAGAGAGGGGGCAAGGCAGAGGGATTGAGGGAGAGTGTTCCAGAGATTCAGGGTGTAGTGGCTGAAAGTGCGAGCTCCGGTGGTGGGGTGGAAGGGGCGAGGGACGAGCAGGAGCTGGTGCCAGTCGAGCGGAGGCACCCTGAGGTGGATTGGGGAGTGAGGAGATCAGAGAGGGAGGGAGGTGCCAGAGAGTGAAGGGATTTGAACACGAGAGTGAGGATCTTGAAGTGGATGTGTTGGGTGATGTGGAGCCAGTGGAGCCTGGGCCAGAGCTGGGGAGATGTGGGTGTGGAGTTTGGTCGGGGTCAGTATATGGGCGGCAGAGTCTGAATGAGCTGATCTTGTGAATAGTGGAGATGGGGAGACGGCGAGGAGGGGGTTGGAGTAATTCAGGCGAGAGGTGACAAACGCATGTACAAGGTTTCGGCTGCATCTGGGGTAAAGGTACGGTCAGAGGTGGGCAATGTGGCGAAGGTGGAAAAAAGCGGTCCTGGTCAGGGACTGGATATGGGGGAGGAAGGACAGCTGGGAGTCAAACTGGACGCCTAGGTTTCGCACTGGTTCAGTAAGTCTGAGGGAGAGCCCAGGGAGGTTGAGGAGTTTAGATCTGCAGGAGTGAAGACGTTGACAGGATTCTGTTTCCGTTGTTACACATTTATTGTTGTAATAACGTATGTGTGTTTTACTCAAGTTATAATTTACTGTATAGATGCCTCACCGCCCCAGTTAGGTGCCTCCTCTCTCTGCTCAGTGCCACTTGAATTTGGCTGAGATGCCACATTCACAGACACATTAATATATCTGAGCATTGATATTATCTTTGGCACCACTCCAGTCGATGTATATTGCTGTATCTCCCGGTGACTGGGGTTGAGTGAAAGTTGTTTGTGTATCATGCTCCCCGCTGGTAGGAAGGCAACTCAGGTAACGGTATCATTTGGTTTTCTAGTTCCGTCCTTTGAGGTGACCACAGTGCCTCCTGTCAGTGTGACACACAAACCCGAGGGCGACACATTTGGCGTGAGTACCTCCTTTACTATATTTAATATAATAATGATTGTGCATTTGATAGAGCACTCTATAATGTCGTGGAGATGTCGCTTAGTGCTTCACAAAATATACAGTAATTTTAGTGTGATTGTGTGAATTTTAATCCTCTTTAATGTAAAGTCCAAACAAAGCATTTTAAATGCACAATTTGAATAATTTCAGCATATTTCCTATTTGCCTGAAGCACAGCCCATATCATAAATAATAATAATATATCATATAAATAATGTTATATCATAAAAATAATAATAATGTTATATCATAGAAATAATAATAATATTATATCATAGAAATCAACTGGAGTAACATGAATGAGGAAAACAGTCTTTGATGATTGTTGCAGCTTCCTGAACTGGGCACTAAGTGAGAGCTTCTCACACAGAGCATGGGCAGGTCTATCACACTGGGATCTTCACATTGTGTGACCCTCTGCAAGGGAGAATAAAGGGAGGGAGGTGATGGGGGCATTTCAAACCCTCAGTCCTGGAGTGAAATGCCTCATGTGACGTGAGACAAAGAAAACTAATCTGAATGGCAGTGATATTAATTCCTTCATTTTCTGCAATAACTTCGCCAAATAATGACAAAGAAATGTTTTTTAGTGAATCTTTACAGAAAATCCCCTCTTAATGAGATTTCAGAGTAGATGTGCTTGTGACTAAACAGCTCCAAACCCTCTGAGGTTATCATATTGATGTTATATCGCCAGCTGGAGAAGGAGGAGACAGTACAGATGGTAGGATCTGCTGTTTGTATTCTCAATCTCTTGTAATTTGACAGAAATAACTCACAGTGCACATCTGCAAATAGTGCATAGCAGTATCAGGAGGATTGGGTTTGTAGCCTCTGGGGCGTGGAATCTTGCAGCTTTTGGCCAATTTAACTCTCTCAGTTGTCTACAATATTCCCTATCCTCTTTCATTTCCTCTCTAGGGAGTGAAATGTTGTTCACCATGAAATGCTTCTGCTAATAAGGTTTTCTGCATAAAGTTGTTAGCGTCTCCTGTTGTGTGTGTATTCCACTCGCTGTTACTGCGAAAGAATTGTAATAGTAAAAGCACGGCCACAACTGAATGACAACTGACTCCCTCAGGGCTCTGTCCTCGGTCCCCTCCTCTTCACCCTCTATATGCTCCCCCTGTGGTGACATCATCCGCAGACATGGGGTTAACTTCCACATGTATGTGCATGACACCCAACTCTACCTTTCCTCCTCTACCCTCAACTCCACGACCCCCGATGTCCTGACAGCTGTCTGTCCGACATCGAGTCCTGGACGAGAGACAACTTTCTTCAGCTCAACGTGCGCAAAACTGAGGCCCTCCTGATTGGCTCATGTCAGCGCCTCCGCACCTCAGGCGCTGACAGCATCAGCATCCAAGGCTGCACTCTCCACCTCTCATAGCCAGTCAGGAACCTCGGCGTTCTGTTCGACCCTGAGCTGTCCTTGCTCTCTCATATCTGCGCCACAACTGGCACCGCCTTCCACCACCTCCGGAACATCGCCAGACTATGGCACTACCTCACTCCTCACACTGCTGAAGATCAGGTCCACGCCTTTATCACCTCAAGGCTGGACTACGGGGACTCTCTCCACGTCGGCCTTCCCAGCCCTCCCTCCACACTGCAGGTCATTCAGAACTCTGCAGCTCGTGTACTGTCCCGCACAAGGCTTCGCGACCACATCACTCCCACCCTCGCTCGCCTCCACTGGCTCCCCATCCCCCAGAGGATCGAATTCAAGATCCTCATCCTCACCTACAAGGCCATTTACAGCCTTGCTCTCTCCGACGTATTAACCCCCTACTTACCTGCCCGTACCCTCCGTTCCTCTGGCTCCGGTCTGCTCCATATCCCCCGCCCCAACCGCCCTACCATTGGTGGCCGGGCCTTCAGCCTCTCAGCCCCTAGGCTCTGGAACTCCATCTCCCAGTGCCTTCGCCGCTTCCTCCCTTTCTTCCTTCAAGGCCGGTCTCAAGACCTTTCTCTTTGACCTTCAGCTCCCCTCTCGACTCTCTACCCCCTCCTCGCTCCCTCCCTTCCCTCCCCTCACCCTGACCATTCCCCCCCTGCTCGGTACCTGACCCAACTATCCAGTGCCTTGGGACGTCCTCCCGACGTGAAAGACCCTCTAAAAATGAAATGTTGTTGTTGTTGTTCTCTTAAGGTAGTGCATTGGGTCATCACTGCATGTATCGTTCAACTCTTGATTCCATTCTGGTGATCAGTATAGAGGGTAGGTTGTGGCTTTGTATGAGATCACAGACTATTGTAGAGCCCTGGGGAAATCCACCTACATTGCGTTCAGACCCATTGCCTCATGAAACCCTCATGAAACCCAGGATTCATATAAAGTGTGATGACTTGTCGAGCCTGTCCCTCTTGTTCGGGGTAAGGCAAGGCTGCCCACTGACACTGACCTTAGCTGATGTATTGGATGGCATCAAGAGGAATGGACTTAGTATCTCTGATAAAATGACAGTGTTTCTCTTTGCAGATGATGTTGTGCTGTGTTTCACATCTCGCATGAATTATTCCTTTGTATAATGACACGAGTGGATATAATATGACAATGGCAGAACCTGCTTCCATCGGGCTTTATTGTGTTTGGATGGAGACCTGAATGAGGCTTGGGTCCTGCAGACCCGTCATTGGTTCACTTCAAATTGTAACACGTGGAGCATCTGCGTCACAGGAACCTGTTTGTTGGATGTTCCATTCCTGTCCTTTTCACCGCTATCTCTGTGTCTCTTCCCCCGTCACTGGTGGGATTTCTCCCCCTGTCACTGCTGGGATCTCTCCCCCTGTCACTGCTGGGATCTCTCCCCCTGTCACTGCTGGGATCTCTCCCCCTGTCACTGCTGGGATCTCTCCCCCTGTCGCTGCTGGGATCTCTCCCCCTGTCGCTGCTGGGATCTCTCCCCCTGTTGCTGCTGGGATCTCTCCCCCTGTCAGTGCTGGAAAGTGCTGCTAATGACAGGCCAGACAGCATTTACCATCACGAGATGTTATTGAGAATCCTTCATTTTCTTGACCTTTGTTTGATTTCACACCATGCTGTTTCAGGACATTGACCCTCAATCATTTGAAGAATTTCTGGGGAGAAACTGTTTTAATATTGGCGTTGGCGTGACATCAAATTCTTTAACTTCTTACAGTGGGAATATAATCAGACAGTGTAAATGCAAAGAGACTGCAATCCAAAGCGCTGAGATAACAGTTTGCAACATCCCGAAGAAATCATTTTGATATCACTGAAAAGGGGAAAGCTTTTTTTTAATCTTAGATTTAACCCAGACAAGTCGATACAAAAAACAAAGAAATATCGTAATATCAGAAACCACAGCTGTAATGCAACAGTAAAGAACCAGAATCAACCAGTCTGTTTCCTGTCTCAGGCCTAGTTATACTTTGTGTGGATTACAGGGATGTACTTAGAATGTAAAGCATAGAAACAGACCATTTACACCATGTTTATACTCACTGCTCCCTCACTCCATAGCTGCTATTTCCTTCTCCCCCATGTGTACATTATTGTGGTTATTGTGGATTATCCAGTGAAATATATTCAGTTTTGAGTGTGGGACTATTGAGCATGTGTCTATTACTACATCATAGTTACAATAATTTCAGTTCTCATTTGAGAATGGAGGTTCCCCCTCCAAATAGCAAACAGGCTGTGAATGGATAAATATCCTGACGCTTTACACTGGAGAATTGCATGTGGACAAATCTGTCAGGAATTAATTATTTTACGTTTAGCTTTTGCTAATAAACAGCCCTTTGTTGTGTACACACCGCACATCACTGGTTCCAATGTGCATTACCTCATATCAGCTAGTTTACAGTCCATCTGTCACTGCTTAGTTTGTCATCATTCATCTGAATCTCGTTGAATGCTTTATATTTATCTCCTTTATATTTGTTAGCTAGCTAACATTTTAATAATAAGAAGAATTATTGTTCCATTCATTTATGTGTGAAGAACGGAAGAGATCTGTTCAATGCCAAGCCGAGCCTATTCCTAAAGGCGGTTTTCATTCTTATTAGTTTAATTTGCTAATATCACTGTGACTTTGTTTTTTTGTGGAATGTTATCAAATGGCTTCTAAAAATCCAAATAAAATATATTCATTGGATACACTCATCGCTGCTTTAGTTATCAAGACAAAGAATATTACCTAGTGACACAAGGCTGAGTGATTCTACAATCCGACTGCTCCTTCTCTTCTTTAGTGTCCTTCCTGTATAATGCTGCAGACGTCTGGAATTTTATCTAGTTTTACTCTGTAAGACCATTTTGTCTTAAAATTTAATTTTGCACAAAATTGTAAATTCTTAAATTCAGTATTAATTTGGAAGCCATTTTGTTTAAAGAACCAGGACTTTGGCAAATGCGGTGAGCACTGTGAAGCTCTCCCTGCCCTATATGCCCAGAATTCAGAATCATATTCACTGCTCGCTCTCTGTTAATCCACTACACTTAACGTTTTACTGTTTGATGTACAAACCTCTCCTTATTCCTCCTCTCAGAATGTATCCCCACAGACATTTATGCATTAAGTTTCACCTGTCACCTGTTTGCCCAAATCACTAATCTGCCTGTCCTCCCGAAGCCTCTTACATTCCTCATCTTAGCCACACTCCCAATTTTGATGTCATTGGCAGATTTAGATTTTGTGCCACTTAAACTCAAGTCCCAATTTTAGTATAAATGGAGAAAATGATGACTGCATATGGCTAGAGCCATGGTTGAAGAATAGACATGGAAGCATAAGGTGGAGTTGGTGCTTGCTTTGCCCATTAAATCTTTACTGGGAAATAGTGGGTGATACGAAGTGAGAATTGGATCAGGTAGTATTTGTACTGTGGATGTTGATGGGTCAAATGACCTTTTCTTATTTATGATTTTATGATTTATTATATTCTTGTGAGCATCTCAAGAGGCCTGGGATTTCACTGTGACTGTGAGGGCCTGAGAGTTAGAGATCACTGTTTTACTATAAAATGTATGGTGTTGATGTAGTTCTAATTCAAGCTGCAGCACAGACTCGATGGGCTGAATGGCCTCTTGTACTAAAGGCTTTTACCTTTGTGTTCCAACACTCTGTTTTGGCTCTCACAGGTCTCCATTGCTGTTGGACTAGCAGCGTTTGCTTGTGTTCTCCTGCTTGTACTGTTCATCTTGATTAACAAATATGGACGTCGTTCTAAATTTGGAATGAAAGGTGAGTAGCAATGCTGAATCTTCTGTTCCTGCTGTTCAAGTGCTCCGGGGTTACCCTGTGTGAAGGACACTATATAAATGCAACTTTTTGTTGTTGCTCATGGGCTCATTTAATTATGTGATATTTGCAATGGAGCCACAAAAATGAGTTGAACTTGTGATGTTAGGAATTGTTGGAACTAGATTTTTGCTAAATGAGGTTCAACAGTCAAATACTCAAAATAATAATAATAATCCTTACATTTGATATAGTGCCTGATCAAGTCTTCGAGATGTCTCAAAAGTGTTTCACAGAATATATGTAAAGTGAATTGACTATATTTTGTGGGCGAAATGGGGCAGCCAATTGCACACAGCAGTGTCCCACAAACAGTCATGGATTGAAGGGAAAACTAGTAAGAAACTAGTGTAAACGTGGTGCTGTTAGGATTTTTCACATTTTCTTCCAACTTGACTGGCAAGTAGTTTTGTTGCTCTCCTGCTCAGAGTGACCCTATACTGTGACCCTGAATGAATAGCAAACAACCCTGCAGGAATGAGTGAACATGGTCCCACACCAAAACGCTGTATCAACCTAGAGAATAGAGAATAGCTGCTGTCTGTAATAGCTCCATATTCTTGCTTTTCACGTTACTGAACCAAGGTGACACACTGCCACAATGTGGGATTTAAAATCTCTTCAAAGCTTTTAATGTTTCATCTGACATTTAAACTTTGTAAACACTCAACCATAAAGAATGCACGCATGGCTCAAATGGTTTGTGTAATTGGTTTTCTTAATTGCCAATGTTTGGACATTGGTATTTAAACTTCATTCTCACCATTGAATCAAACTGCACCTTTACTCCTGTGTCGTGGGATAGATCTGTCTTCTCAATGACAAAATAACTTCCCAGAATAAACATCTGATTTTCTGCAGAAATTCTGTATATAGGTATCTTTATAATCAGCTTTTACTGATTTTCATGATAAGTACCTGGATTGTTTGGTGACTTGATTAGAATTCACTGACTGCTTGTGTATCACATAGTTTATTACACTTTGGAACGATTAGTTAAAGTGAACATGTTTTGATTGGAAACATTGTGATGCTGGGCTCGGGATAACCCAGCCTGAGCTGATAACCAAAGCCTTAATTCTCAGCAGCCAGGGTCCACACAATGAAAAAGTGCTACTTGCCATTTTAGTTCATTGACTGTTTCAACTGTTTCAATTTTGTGAATTGTTGTGGGTTTGTTGTTGTAGTTCTTGGAGTGAATAGTGGGAACAAACCCTTGTGTTGCAGGAAGAGGAATAAACAGGAATGAAGCCCAGTATCTTGACCATTATTAGCAGACAAACCACCCATTGCCGCTGACAATGAGATGGCACTGTCTGCAGATAAACAATTGATTCCAGGACAGGACTCCAATCTACAAAGTCGTTTCCCTTTCACTCACCGACCAAATTGCTTCCTATTCTATACAGCACTGAAGCCTCAGATGGTTTCTGTTCTCTCATTAGGCAGTATTCCATGATCCAAATTGCTTTCCATTCACTCGCATTCTATGGAATTCAAAGTACCAAAAAACACTCTGCATTCATCTGACCACTCGTTCCTGATACACACAGAATACTAAACATATTATCTGATCTCACATCAAACTCTGCCTACACTCAGGTTCTCAGTCTCTGCCTGCCAGTATTGTTCAGCCATTGTCTAATTTAATCTAAACACAGCAGCATATGTTAGACATCTCGTTTTTCCATAAAGTAATTCTTGTAAAGGATTTTTTTTAAACGAGGTATAGTATATAGCCCAGCTCGTGTCAGTCGAGACTCACATGTGGCATAGGGCTTCTTACAACAAGTGCAATGTGAATGAGGCGTTTAGGGACAGGTTTCTGGAATACTGCCGGACCCATTGACAATCCCCCATTCCAGTAATTCATTAGCTTTTTATTTTCTGCTACAAATGCTGGCAGCAGACAGCCTCATCTCACATTTTCATTTCAGTAAACAGACTTAATTAAAAAAAGATTAAGTGGATCTTACAGCCCGTGGAATGGAGAAAAAATTGAGATTGCTTTTGGAAATTTATGAGTGCAAGCTCAAACTAGTTCATTAAACTGAAATTACTTAAATTATTTTCTTTTGTTACCACTGCACCCATACAAATAAACGTGTTGTAATGTTTTATAGGATGCTCACAAGGATCCAATATTTATTCACGTTTAGTAGTGAATCATTGTAATGGCACTGAATCGTTATTAACCATTCCAAAGGTGCCAACCCAAAGGATCACTTTTGCTACGCTTTACATTCTCTATGGTTGGTCTTCACAGATTCAGCACAAATAGTGTTCAAACTTGAAAGAGGGGAGAGAGAATGCAGCAGACACTTGAGGTTTATGCAGTGAGGTCAGAGAAAAAGTGGAATAATGGGAACTGAAGAAAAAAAATCATAAATAAATTTACATGACATTCTTGCGCTTCTTGGACTCCATTACCAATAAGAGAAACAATGTGAAAGGTTCTACACACTTGTGAAAATCTGTACTTGTATCATGTCATGTATATAACTCAATGATATTGCATGATCCATGCATGTGCTTTACACAAACCTGGAAGCTTGTCCTCCCACCTAGTGCATGACGGCCAACACAAAGCTGCACAGAGGGAAGGCTTTTCATGTGTTACAGCAATGGCTGTGTTAGGAGCTGTGTGAGGCGACCCTTCTCTACATTTGGAATAATTAAGTAACGGCAGCAAAGCTAATGAATATCACTTTCAATTCCACGTGTTATTGCTGTTCCTGTAGGCAGAGACCCAGTGACAATGCTGCTCCCAGAATAAATTGAAGCAACTTATTGAAGCTGGTCACATGAGAGAGTAGAAATGAGACTCAGAGGCTTAGTGTGCTCTTATGTTAACCTTTCTTTAGTGCGGCAAGCGTGAGGCCTGTAATGCAGAGCAAATGAACCATGCAAAGCAAGGGATTAGACCTGCCACTTACTATAGTATCTTTCTTCAAGTGTAACTAAAGGGATTTGCAAGCTTCAATGAATAGAAGTAAACTTCTACCTCGCTGTTTGTCTTTTTCTGTCTCTGAGGTGGTACAGTACGGTCATGCCTGTAGGATGTACACAGGGATGGCTCGTGGCCCTTGATGTGCACGTAAAGGCAGTGTTTATTCTCTTGAGTGTCTTAAGTCGGTGAGGGCTCTATAATAATAATAATAATAATCCTTGCATTTGATATAGCGCTTTTCACGTCGGGATACTGATTAATGCCTTTTGCTATCAGCAAGGTTGAGATGTAGGCAATCTCCTGGCTTGTTACTACATCCATTGATGGCTCACGTGAGCTGTGTCCTCTAGCATTGATCACTGTGTCTCCATAGGAACAGCTGGGCTTTCCTGTGGCACTGTAACTGTGGGAGCATTTCAGAGTCAAGTTGGGTATGAGAGAGTACAACCTCAGAACATTGGGAGAAAGGGGCCCTGACATGTAGGAGTAATGAATCATAAAAGAGATTGTGGAGATGTAGTTTGGGGAGATCACTGACATTCCAGGTTAGCAATGACGGTGTATTTGCTGGCAATGTTAGAAGCAGGACAGCAGGATTTGTGCAGACATTGGTTATGATATTGGATCATTAAACTGAACTAGAAGAATTCAGCCTGAGAATGAAACTCAATAATCAAATTGAATTTTCCAGAAATAAAGTCACTCATGGACACAACATCAAATGAATCATTTATTATTGACTGGAGTTTGGGAAGAGGTATTGTGAGAGCTCCATAACCAGCTTTCTGTACCAGAGCCTCATGCCTCAGTGTGACAGTGGAGTCCAGCCACACACATAACAAAATGCTCAATTAAGACGTGAGTGCTCAAAGGGCTGTGTTTCAGGAGTCCCTGAGGCATCATTGCTAATCAAATCACTGAGTAGTGCAGTGTGAGAAACGCAATCAAATTCCCTGAGTGAAACCATTTCAAAAACAGGATTCGGATTGTAACGGTGAGGACAGAATTTCCAAATCAATGATTTGTCAATACAGGCACCCCATTGTAGCAAAGGCACTATTTAGTCCGTGTCAGGTTCACCTCTTGAGTAATAAAGGTGTGGTTCAAGCCCCGCGGTGGGTCTTTGAGCTCACAGTCTCTAGGCTGACACTACAGTGCAATGTTCTATTATTAGAGGCACTGTCCTTCGATGAGATATTAAATCGAGGACAGGTAGAGGTTTAAAAAAGTGAACTTTCAGTTCCTCAGATTACTGTTAATGTGACTTGCTTTGTGCTGTAGACTGGCATCGCACAAGAAGTCATATTGGGGGAGGCCTGATGACTCAGAAGTTACTAATTGTTTTTATGGTGGACACTGGCCAGTTGGGTAGGAAAGCAAACTGTCTGTTTTCCAGGTGATCAGGTCACAGTAATGTTGTGTTGTGTGGAAGTGATGTGGACCTGACCATCTAGACGTCGGCCTAGTATTTAGAACATGGCCTGTAATTGGCAAAGGGATTCCAAAATGGATGACTTCCGTGTCATCAAGTCACCAGCTGTCAATTCATGTAGAAGTATCGTGAGCAGTGACCTGATGACCCGGAAGTCGGCCATTGTTTAATGTGCTCATTATCTCTAAGCTCCTGTATCTAAGTGGAGCTTCTGCTCACAGTTTGGATTATTTGTAAGTAAATGTTGGCTTCACATTCTAAGTGAACCTGCATTATATCAAAGTGTATCGTAGCCGGTTATGCTGTGCTTTGTTGTTAGTGCACAGTCGAGAATGGGATACTGTTGGAATACCTGCTCCTGTGCACTGGAGTAAATAAGGAACATGTCCCTGTGCCGAAGGTTATAATGTCTTTGGATCATCAAAAGGAAAGATATCAGCTTATAATGCATCGGTTTAGAAAATAATTACCTTTCACTGTTTAATAAAAATCACACGGCACTTGACTTTAAAGAGGTAGTTTATAAGATGCCTGTATTTCCTTCAGTATCAATAAGTTTGT